CGTTGGACACTGTCAGGACACTGTCAGGACACTGTAGAACACTGTCAGGACACTGTAGAACACTGTCAGGACACTGTCAGGACACTGTCAGGACACTGTAGAACACTGTCAGGACACTGTCAGGACACTGTCAGAACACTGTAGACACTGTAGGACACTGTCAGGACACTGTTAGGACACTGTAGGACACTGTCAGGACACTGTAGAACACTGTCAGGACACTGTCAGGACACTGTCGGACACTGTCAGGACACTGTCAGGACACTGTTAGGACACTGTCAGGACACTGTCAGGACACTGTCAGGACACTGTCAGGACACTGTCAGGACACTGTCAGGACACTGTCAGGACACTGTCAGGACACTGTAACACGCAGACACTGTAGAAAAACTGTCAGGACACTGTCAGGACACTGTAGGACACTGTCAGGACACTGTCAGGACACTGTCAGGACACTGTCAGACACTGTCAGGACACTGTCAGGACACTGTCAGGACACTGTGACACTGTCAGGACACTGTAGAAACACTGTCAGGACACTGTCAGGACACTGTAGGACACTGTCAGGACACTGTCAGGACACTGTCAGGACACTGTCAGGACACTGTAGAACACTGTAGGAACACTGTAGGACACTGTCAGGACACTGTCAGGACACTGTAGGACACTGTCAGGACACTGTCAGGACACTGTCAGGACACTGTAGAACACTGTCAGGACACTGTCAGGACACTGTAGAACACTGTCAGGACACTGTCAGGACACTGTCAGGACACTGTCAGGACACTGTCAGGACACTGTAGAACACTGTCAGGACACTGTCAGGACACTGTCATGGACACTGTCAGGACAACTGTCTGAACACTTAGGGCACTGTCAGGACACTGTCAGGACACTGTCAGGACACTGTAGTACACTGTCAGGACACTGTCAGGACACTGTCGGACACTGTCAGGACACTGTCAGGACACTGTCAGGACACTGTAGACACTGTCAGGACACTCTCAGGGCACTGTCAGGACACTGTCTGGACACTGTCAGGACACTGACTGTAGGGCACTGTCAGGACACTGTCAGGACACTGTCTGGACACTGTCAGACACTGTACATGTACACTTCAGGGCACTGTCAGGACACTGTCCTGGACACTGTCAGGACACTGCATGTACACTACTCAGGACAGCTGTCAGAAGACACAAGTCTGGACACTGCAGGAACTGTCAGGACACTGTCAGACACTGTCAGGACACTGTGCTGTATCACTTCCACTGAGGAACCCTGTCAGGCGAAACTGTCTTGGACACTGCTCAGGACACTGTAGGGCACTGTCAGTACACTGTCATCACTGTCAGACATCTTAAAATGTCAGGACACTCTGTCATGGACACGTCAGGACCTGCTACAGAACTACTTCTCCTAAGGACACTGTCGGACACTGCCTGGCATGGGCCACTAGACTGCTGACAGGCCCTTCCGACTATCTTCAAATAGTGATGACTGCCAGCAGGACGGTAGGCCTGTCAGCATGTAATTCCTGTATGGGTGACTTGTCACATTCCACTGGAAGTGAACTCTGTAGTTCTGCGAAAGTTGACTTGGACTGCTTAACATAGGCCAGTAGGCCTGCAGCAGTGCTCCTTCCCTCTCATGAATGTCAGTGTACTTAGACATGCTGCATGGGCAGTCAGTCACTTTACAGGTAGCGAACCATGCCATGTCCTAACTATGTGACTTGACCTGCCTGGCAGGGCTTAGACGGCCTGCTACATGTTCTTCCTTCTAAATGAGTGAGACCTTGACGTGCCTGGCAGTTGGAGCCGGTGGCCTGTAGCAGTGCTCCTTCCTGCTCCTTAATGAGTGTACTTAGGAACCGCTGCATGAGTACGATAGACTGCCTGTAGTGTTTGCCACTTATAAGTAGGTTTGTCAATTAAGACGTCACTTAACAAGGACTCAGTAGGTACTCCTGTGAGTACAGTGACTCCCGTTCAACCTCTCATATGTCCTCTAATGTACTTCCACAGACAAGTACTGGTCTCACAGGACTCCACGCTCAGGTTCCTGTCTTCACAGGACTCACGTTAAGGAGCGAAACACAGCGAGGTCCTCAACTTCTCGTTACCCTCACACGCTTGACGGCCCTTCTTTTGTTACTAACTACACAATAAACACTCTCCTGTTGCAACATCAGTTGAGATGGTGATCCAGTGAGAGTGCAGTCTTGCACTGCATACCAATTAGCTACGCTCAGGAACATGAGTTTTTGTCCCACGATAGACGTAGGTCCTGTCAGCTGGGTTATTGTACCAAACTGAAAGTAGGTTGTGTCAGAAAGACGTCAACAAACACAGGGACTCTAAGTTAAGGTACTCCTGTGTACTCCACAGGGACTCCACGTTAAGCTACGTCAATGTCCTCTAGACGGACTCCACGCTAAGGTACGCTTGTGTCCTCCACAGGGACTCCACGCTAAGGTATTCCTGTGCCCTTCACAGGGACTCCACGTTAAGGTATTCCTGTGCCCTTCACAGGGACTCCACGCTAAGGTATTCCTGTGCCCTTCACAGGGACTCCACGCTAAGGTATTCCTGTGCCCTTCACAGGACCACCACGTTAAGGTACTTCTGTGTCCTCCACGGGACCTCCACATTATGGTACTCCTGTGTCCTCCACAGGGACTCCACGTTATGGTACTCCCGTGTCCTCCACAGGGACTCCAAGTTAAGGTACTCCTGTGTCCTCCACAGGGACTCCACGTTAAGGTATGGCTGTGTCCTCCACAGTGACTCCACGTTAAGGTATGACTGTGTCCTCCACAGTGACTCCACGTTAAGGTATGACTGTGTCCTCCACAGTGACTCCACGTTAAGGTATGACTGTGTCCTCCACAGTGACTCCACGTTAAGGTATGACTGTGTCCTCCACAGTGACTCCACGTTAAGGTATGACTGTGTCCTCCACAGTGACTCCACGTTAAGGTATTACTGTGTCCTCCACAGTGACTCCACGTTAAGGTATGACTGTGTCCTTCACAGTGACTCCATGTTAAGGTATGGCTGTGTCCTCCACAGTGACTCCACGTTAAGGTATGGCTGTGTCCTCCACAGGGACTCCACGTTAAGGTACATCTTATCCTTCCCCAGTACTCCACTTTTAATGTAACGTCTTGTCCTCCACAGTGCACTCCACGTTAAGGTATGGCTGTGTCCTCCACAGGGACTTCACGTTAAGAATTTAACCCACAGGTATCTGTCAGCTTTTGAGTTATTGTACCCAAGGCATAGTTTAAGGGATGTGTCCTCCAGGACTTTAGTTATGTACGCCTGTGTCCTGTCAGCTTTGAGTTATTGTACCAAGCTGTAAGTAGGTCCTGTCAGCTTTGAGTTATTGTACCAAGCTGTAAGTAGGTCCTGTCAGCTTTGAGTTATTGTACCAAGCTGTAAGTAGGTCCTGTCAGCTTCAGCTTATTATACCAAGCTGTAAGTAGGTCCTGTCAGCTTTGAGTTATTATACCAAGGTGCAAGCAGGTGCTGTCAGCTACGACTTATCGACCGACGGCAGTGGAACACGAGTGCCATCTTCAGAGTGCTGAAGGCTCTTCCAACACTGACACCAGAGAACAGTGACCCCAGCAGTGACCACACTCTTACAACATTGACCTTAATTGGGTATTTTTAATGCTGCAACGTTTCGCTCATACAGTAGGTTTCTGCAGTCAAATACAGAGGCAGCAGGTTTAGTAATAATAATAATAATTATAATAATAATAGTAATAATAATAATAATAATAATAATAATAATAATAATAATAATAATAATAATAATAATAATAATAATAATAATAATAATAATAATATTTATTACTACCAGTACCTGACACAACTTATACAGACCATAGCTGACACCTATGACATACTACTATACAGAAAGTTCCTTGTTATGTACAGCATTTCCTGCATATTAGGTCAGTTTTGTCCCAGGATGCCACCCACACCAGTCACCTAACACCCAGGATGCCACCCACACCAGTCACCTAACACCCAGGATGCCACCCACACCAGTCACCTAACACCTAGGATGCCACCCACACCAGTCACCTAACACCCAGGATACCACCCACACCAGTCACCTAACACCCAGGATGCCACCCACACCAGTCACCTAACACCCAGGATGCCACCCACACCAGTCACCTAACACCCAGGATGCCACCCACACCAGTCACCTAACACCCAGGATACCACCCACACCAGTCCACTAACACCCAGGATGCCACCCACAACAGTCACCTAACACCCAGGATGCCACCCACACCAGTCACCTAACACCCAGGATGCCACCCACACCAGTCACCTAACACCCAGGATGCCACCCACACCAGTCACCTAACACCCAGGATGCCACCCACATCAGTCACCTAACACCCAGGTACCTATTTTACTGATGGGTGAACATGGACAGCAGGTGTCTTAAGGAAACACGTCGTAATGATCCCACCCCTAGAGAAGTAAGATGGAATAGTGTCCATAGAGCAAAAACAAATATTGAGAGTACACCAGGTCCTGTAAAAGGTGAATCTGTGAAAAAACTTAATGTTTTGAGGCCAAGCTGTCCACAGGAGAGGTCAAGCCTTTGAGAGAAGGGTGTGGTCATCTGGACTGGACTCGTCCGCCGAAAAGTCATCGGCTTCGGTCCGATTAAACACGTCTCGGGTGAGGTGATAGGACTGGTGTTGCAAGCAGGAAAAAAGTATTGGGATTCAGTGCAATTAAACACGTGTTGACTGCGGTGTCAGGACTGGTGTCACTAGCCGAAAACCGGCTCTGGTTTGGTCCAATTTAATCCAGATAAGCAATACCCTGAGGACTCGATACGGTGCGGTATGTTACGGCCCTATAAACTACCAACAAGAACACCAAGACCAATGGTTCTTGAGGTTACTTTCACAAGGGTAACGAAAGATGAGATTGATGCTTTTAACGCCCTAAATAGCCTTTACCTCTTCCCCAAATCGACCTTCAGGAATCTGAAGGTCGTAGGTCGAGCCTTCATCTGCAGGTATAAGAATGTTGAGTAACAGAGAGAGTGACACACAAGCGAACAGACCTGAACGAGTCCTCAACCTCCATCATCCTCCCTACAATGAAGGTCTTGGTGAGTTCTCCCTCGTTTACACCAACGGAATTTGTTTTCCAAGTGTAAATGACTCCTACTGTCTCTTTTACGAGAGGTTAGGTAAGGTTCATCAGGAAACAGGACAAGTGTTTCCTGGTGCGGGTCTTAGTTATATGACGACCCACAGCTGGTGCTTTTAGTCATCTGACCGAGGCCTTCCACTGGCTTACCCACTCCACCCCTTTATTTACAAGAGTAAACAACAGTAAACACCTGTTTCTGTCCCTTTCACACGTGTATTTACAAAGGTTCAGTTACTACTACAGTAGACATTAATGTATTTTCTTTCTGCTGTAGCAGACATTAACGTCTAGTCTTGCTGCTGTAGCAGACATTAACGTCTAGTCTTGCTGCTGTAGCAGACATTAACGTCTAGTCTTGCTGCTGTAGCAGACATTAACGTCTAGTCTTGCTGCTGTAGCAGACACTAATACATTATGTTTGTGTTACAGGTGATCGTAGTCTTGGGTCTGGTGGCGCTGGCTGCTGCTCGACCCAACGAAGTCTTTGACTTCGAGGGCGACGATGCTGAGCACGAGCAGGAGGGCGCTCCTGGTCACTCAGTCACTGGAGAGTACAAGTGAGTAGTGAACCTCAACCTTCAGAAGGCCCAAGAATGGGTTTGTGTATACACTGAGAGGTATATCTCATATAGTACATGAGAGGTGTTTCCAGTACTGAGGGTGTATATTCAGTGTATAACACTGAGAGGGTATATCTCAGTGATAACACTAGAGGTGATATCTCAGTGTAAACCTGAGAGGTGTATATTCAATATACATGAGAGGTGTATATCTCATGAAACCTGAGAGGTGTATACCAGTGTAATCAGAAAGGGTTATCTCAGTGTATAACACTGAGAGGTGTATATCTCAGTGTATATACACTGAGAGGTGTATATCTCAGTGTATATACACTGAGAGGTGTATATCTCAGTGTATATACACTGAAGGTGTATATCTCAGTGTATAGACACTGAGAGGTGTATGTCTCAGTGTATATACACTGAGAGGTGTATATCTCAGTGTATATACACTGAGAGGTGTATATCTCAGTGTATATACACTGAGAGGTGTATATCTCAGTGTATATACACTGAAAGGTGTATATCTCAGTGTATAGACACTGAGAGGTGTATGTCTCAGTGTATATACACTGAGAGGTGTATATCTCAGTGTATATACACTGAGAGGTGTATATCTCAGTGTATATACACTGAGAGGTGTATATCTCAGTGTATATACACTGAGAGGTGTATATCTCAGTGTATATACACTGAGAGGTGTATATCTCAGTGTATATACACTGAGAGGTGTATATCTCGGTGTATATACACTGAGAGGTGTATATCTCAGTGTATATACACTGAGAGGTGTATATCTCAGTGTATATACACTGAGAGGTGTATATCTCAGTGTATATACACTGAGAGGTGTATACCTCAGTGTATATACACTGAGAGGTGTATATCTCAGTGTATATACACTGGTAGTTTACATTAATCAGTATTTTAGGTATTAAAGTATTCTTGACTGGTGGTGACCAGGTGACCTGCAGCCTTAATGACCCTGGTGTAGTAGATAGACTTTAAACCCCATTAACCAACCAACCAGTCTTAATTAATTATTAATGACCCTGGTGTAGTAGCTAGACTTTAAACCCCATTAACCAACCAACAGTCACATGGTTGTATATATATTCAAGGTGTTTATATAGAGGGTTAATTAATGTAAATTTACAGGTGGGAGAGTCCAGAGGGTATTGAGTTCGTTGTAAAGTACATCGCTGACGAGAAGGGGTACCGAGTGCTGGAGTCCAACGCTGTTCCATCTTCCAACGGTGTCTCTGCTGATGGTGAACAAGCCGATCTTGAAGGTGACGAAGATGATGACGGTGATGATGATGATGATGACAAATAGACAGGAAATAGATAAGAAGGCGTCGATGACAGGCTTCAGCGATGTCTCCTGAAGCCAACACTGGAGGCGGGTCGGTCTGACAGGATGATTGTACTCTGTAATAACTGTCTTGTGGGGTATATATGCTGTGTATATCTCAGTGTATATACACTGAGAGGTGTATATCTTACTGTATATGCACTGAGAGAGGTGTATATCTCAGTGTATATGCACTGAGAGAGGTGTATATCTCAGTGTATATACACTGAGAGGTGTATATCTCAGTGTATATACACTGAGAGGTGTATATCTCGGTGTATATACACTGAGAGGTGTATATCTCAGTGTATATACACTGAGAGGTGTATATCTCAGTGTATATACACTGAGAGGTGTATATCTCAGTGTATATACACTGAGAGGTGTATATCTCAGTGTACATGCACTGAGAGGTGTATATCTCAGTGTATATGCACTGAGAGAGGTGTATATCTCAGTGTACATGCACTGAGAGGTGTATATCTCAGTGTATATGCACTGAGAGGTGTATATCTCAGTATATATGCACTGAGAGAGGTGTATATCTCAGTATATATGCACTGAGAGAGGTGTATATCTCAGTATATATGCACTGAGAGAGGTGTATATCTCAGTATATATGCACTGAGAGAGGTGTATATCTCAGTGTACATGCACTGAGAGGTGTATATATCTCAGTGTATATGCACTGAGAGGTGTATATATCTCAGTGTATATGCACTGAGAGGTGTATATATCTCAGTATATATGCACTGAGAGGTGTATATATCTCAGTGTATGTGCATCGAGAGGTGTGTATATCTTAGTGTATATACCCCATTAAGCTGTATATCTCTCAGTATATATTCACCTACTACATCCCTTATTACAGGCATTAAGGTTACCATAACTCGTGGTAAACAGGTTGTCATAAGCCTTAATGACCCTCGTCTAGTCTAGGTTTCAACCCTAACTCATTCCCCCTACCTTTAAACTATTCAATGAAGCCTCTCCTACCCGTTTAATGTACTCATATTATATTTATTTGTCTATGTCTCTTTCTGTAAATAAATATTTGGAAAAGATTCTTGTATTGATTTTTTAAGTTATTATTCTTATTGTATGGAGTTATGTTTGTGTTATGGTAGTTAGTGAGCTGTTGCTGTGGGTAAGACTGCGTGTTTAACTCCCTGGTAGGCAGTATTTTGCTGCCTGCCAGGGAAGGATGTGAGCTAGGGTGCTCTGTCTCAGTTAACATAGCCTCACACACATGCAAATCCCTACTTACTGCTAGATGAACAATGGTAGCAGGTGTAAGGTGACCATCATCCAGGTACCTACTTACTGCGTGTTTAACTCCCTGGTAGGCAGTATTTTGCTGCCTGCCAGGGAAGGATGTGAGCTAGGGTGCTCTGTCTCAATTAACATAGCCTCACACACGCCCAGTTACCTACTTACTGCTAGATGGTAGCAGGTGTAATTTGACCATCATCCTGGTACCTACTTACTGCATGTTTAACTCCCTGGTAGGGAGTATTCTGCTTCCTGCCAGGGAAGGATGTGAGCTAGGGTGCTCTGTCACAATTAATGTACCCTCACACACATGCAAACACTCTCTTGCCCACTTTGTGGAGTTTACAGTTTCTGAACATTGTTTGTAGCCTACATCCATTGGTGGTCTATACATAAATGCTGATCTGGGATAAGCAGTAATATGCAGTGTGGATTCTGGGAATAAGGGCCACCACTCTGTCTCTAAATGTGAGTCTAGTATGCTAGTGAGTTGAATTTAGAATTAGTTCAGGAGTGTGGGCCCAGCCAATGCTAGGATTGAACAGAACATATCTAGGATTGGTTAGCTGGTGCCTACTCACAATATTGTTTGAACACAGTCGTGAACTAGGTCTCTGCTCACGTGAACACTGTGAACTCAGAGTCGAAGCAAGTGACCTGTACACTTTGATCTATCTAAGGTATACTACCATACCCAGGATGCCACCCACATCTGCCCACTAACACTCAGGTCCGTACTTACTGCTAGTATTTACTGACAGTAGGTGTAATGTAACTATCATCCAGGTACCTACTGATTGGTAAGTGAACAGTGACACCAGGTGTAAGGTAACTAATACCCAGGTACCTACTAACTCTACACCGAGTGAAACATAACTTGATAAAGCTCTACATTGAGTGAAACATAACTTGATAAAGCTCTACACTGAGTGTAACATAACTTGATAAAGCTCTACACTGAGTGTAACATAACTTGATAAAGCTCTACACTGAGTGTAACATAACTTGATAAAGCTCTACACTGATGTGTAACAATAACTTGATAAAGCTCTACACTGAGTGTAACATAACTTGATAAAGCTCTACACTGAGTGAAACATAACTTGATAAAGCTCTACATGAGTGTAACATAACTTGATAAAGCTCTACACTGAGTGTAACATAACTTGATAAAGCTCTACACTGAGTGGAACATAACTTGATAAAGCTCTACACTGAGTGTAACATAACTTGATAAAGCTCTACACTGAGTGTAACATAACTTGATAAAGCTCTACACTGAGTGTAACATAACTTGATAAAGCTCTACACTGAGTGTAACATAACTGATAAAGCTCTACACTGAGTGTAACATAACTTGATAAAGCTCTACACTGGGTGTAACATAACTTGATAAAGCTCTACACTGAGCGTAACATAACTTGATAAAGCTCTACACTGGGTGTAACATAACTTGATAAAGCGCTACACTGAGTGTAACATAACTTGATAAAGCTCTACACTGAGTGTAACATAACTTGATAAAGCTCTACACTGTGTGTAACATAACTTGATAAAGCTCTACACTGAGTGTAACATAACTTGATAAAGCTCTACACTGAGTGTAACATAACTTGATAAAGCTCTACACTGGGTATAACATAACTTGATAAAGCGCTACACTGAGTGTAACATAACTTGATAAAGCTCTACACTGAGTGTAACATAACTTGATAAAGCTCTACACTGTGTGTAACATAACTTGATAAAGCTCTACACTGGTGTAACATAACTTGATAAAGCTCTACACTGAGTGTAACATAACTTGATAAAGCTCTACACTGAGTGTAACATAACTTGATAAAGCTCTACACTGAGTGTAACATAACTTGATAAAGCTCTACACTGAGTGAAACATAACTTGATAAAGCTCTACACTGAGTGTAACATAACTTGATAAAGCTCTACACCGAGTGAAACATAACTTGATAAAGCTCTACACTGAGTGTAACATAACTTGATAAAGCTCTACACTGGGTGTAACATAACTTGATAAAGCTCTACACTGAGCGTAACATAACTTGATAAAGCTCTACACTGGGTGTAACATAACTTGATAAAGCGCTACACTGAGTGTAACATAACTTGATAAAGCTCTACACTGAGTGTAACATAACTTGATAAAGCTCTACACCGAGCGAAACATAACTTGATAAAGCTCTACACTGAGTGTAACATAACTTGATAAAGCTCTACACTGGGTGTAACATAACTTGATAAAGCTCTACACTGAGCGTAACATAACTTGATAAAGCTCTACACTGGGTGTAACATAACTTGATAAAGCGCTACACTGAGTGTAACATAACTTGATAAAGCTCTACACTGAGTGTAACATAACTTGATAAAGCGCTACACTGAGTGTAACATAACTTGATAAAGCTCTACACTGAGTGTAACATAACTTGATAAAGCTCTACACTGAGTGTAACATAACTTGATAAAGCTCTACACTGGGTATAACATAACTTGATAAAGCGCTACACTGAGTGTAACATAACTTGATAAAGCTCTACACTGAGTGTAACATAACTTGATAAAGCTCTACACTGTGTGTAACATAACTTGATAAAGCTCTACACTGAGTGTAACATAACTTGATAAAGCTCTACACTGAGTGTAACATAACTTGATAAAGCTCTACACTGAGTGTAACATAACTTGATAAAGCTCTACACTGAGTGTAACATAACTTGATAAAGCTCTACACTGAGTGAAACATAACTTGATAAAGCTCTACACTGAGTGTAACATAACTTGATAAAGCTCTACACCGAGTGAAACATAACTTGATAAAGCTCAACACTGAGTGTAACATAACTTGATAAAGCTCTACACTGGGTGTAACATAACTTGATAAAGCTCTACACTGAGCGTAACATAACTTGATAAAGCTCTACACTGGGTGTAACATAACTTGATAAAGCGCTACACTGAGTGTAACATAACTTGATAAAGCTCTACACTGAGTGTAACATAACTTGATAAAGCTCTACACTGGGTGTAACATAACTTGATAAAGCGCTACACTGAGTGTAACATAACTTGAATAAAGCTCTACACTGAGTGTAACATAACTTGATAAAGCTCTACACTGTGTGTAACATAACTTGATAAAGCTCTACACTGGGTGTAACATAACTTGATAAAGCTCTACACTGAGTGAAACATAACTTGATAAAGCTCTACACTGAGTGTAACATAACTTGATAAAGCTCTACACTGAGTGAAACATAACTTGATAAAGCTCTACACTGAGTGTAACATAACTTGATAAAGCTCTACACACTGTGTGTAACATAACTTGATAAAGCTCTACACTGAGTGAAACATAACTTGATAAAGCTCTACACTGAGTGTAACATAACTGATAAAGCTCTACACTGAGTGTAACATACTTGATAAAGCTCTACACTGAGTGTAACATTAACTTGATAAAGCTCTACACGTGTGTAACATAACTTGATAAAGCTCTACACTGAGTGTAACATAACTTGATAAAGCTCTACACTGAGTGTAAAATAACTTGATAAAGCTCTACACTGGGTGTAACATAACTTGATAAAGCGCTACACTGAGTGTAACATAACTTGATAAAGCTCTACACTGAGTGTACCATAACTTGATAAAGCTCTACACTGTGTGTAACATAACTTGATAAAGCTCTACACTGGGTGTAACATAACTTGATAAAGCTCTACACTGAGTGAAACATAACTTGATAAAGCTCTACACTGAGTGTAACATAACTTGATAAAGCTCTACACTGAGTGAAACATAACTTGATAAAGCTCTACACTGAGTGTAACATAACTTGATAAAGCTCTACACTGTGTGTAACATAACTTGATAAAGCTCTACACTGAGTGAAACATAACTTGATAAAGCTTACACTGAGTGTAACATAACTTGATAAAGCTCTACACTGAGTGTAACATAACTTGATAAAGTCTACACTGAGTGTAACATAACTTGATAAAGCTCTACACTGTGTGTAACATAACTTGATAAAGCTCTACACTGAGTGTAACATAACTTGATAAAGCTCTACACTGAGTGTAACATAACTTGATAAAGCTCTACACTGAGTGAAACATAACTTGATAAAGCTCTACACTGAGTGTAACATAACTTGATAAAGCTCTACACCGAGTGAAACATAACTTGATAAAGCTCTACACTGAGTGTAACATAACTTGATAAAGCTCTACACTGAGTGTAACATAACTTGATAAAGCTCTACACTGTGTGTAACATAACTTGATAAAGCTCTACACTGAGTGAAACATAACTTGATAAAGCTCTACACTGAGTGTAACATAACTTGATAAAGCTCTACACTGTGTGTAACATAACTTGATAAAGCTCTACACTGAGTGAAACATAACTTAATAAAGCTCTACACTGAGTGTAACATAACTTCATAAAGCTCTACACTGAGTGTAACATAACTTGATAAAGCTCTACAGTGAGCGAAACATAACTTGATAAAGCTCTACACTGAGTGTAACATAACTTGATAAAGCTCTACACTGAGTGGAACATAACTTGATAAAGCTCTACACTGAGTGAAACATAACTTGATAAAGCTCTACACTGAGTGTAACATAACTTGATGAAGCTCTACACTGAGTGTGACATAACTTGATAAAGCTCTACACTGAGTGTAACATAACT